GAACACTTTGTCCAAAATGGCAGTATTCTTGGACTCTCCCCTATCTGAGCCTTGCTACTCATGCCACTTCAAATAAGGTTTTAAGGTTTTCCAGGACACTCTAGCCTCTGGTGGCTATCACACCAGAGGCTAGCCAGAGGATAGCCACACCTTCACAATAGTAGCTCAGTTTCCTCCATTACTATAGGGAGATTTGTGTGATTGTGAGCTTGATGATGGAGATGACGAGAGCTACTGAATGCCCGACCCTGTCATTGGCATCTTTTGTGTATTACTTCTAATCCTCAGAATGAGGTAAATATTAGACTCTCTGCTTCAAAGACATGGACACTGAAGTCTGTAGAACCTAAACTAGTTTCCCAAAGCAACATAGCAATTAAGTGGGTACAGACCCAGGTCTTTCAGGCTCCCAAGTCATGCTCTTGACATGATGCCACACTGCTTCCCAGTGCATATATTTAGGGGCAACTTTATAGATAAAAACTTTATACATAAAAACTTTAGATGTGGAGAGGTGAAAAAAAAATTGTCTTCAAGTACCAGGGGTACATGGTACCTTTAATTCTTACGTTCTCCAAACTCATTCCCCTATGGCTTTTTTTTTTTTCTCCTCTTCCCAAAAAGCAAGCCCAGCTCATGTTTCAGGAGATGACACTGTGTCAGAGAGACCCCTGTGATGATGATTATTTATGGAAGAACCAGATGGAAACATTTGAAACGTATACTAATTAGAAAGTCCTTCATTTCTATTTTCTTTGCTGCCTGCCACCCTGACCCCTCACACACATGGTGTGTTTTGAGCCATTCTTCGTACTTTTGGTTGGGATGTGCCTACCCTGGCATCTGATCACACAGGCTGACTGCTTTTGAAGCAAATGGAAAAAATTCTTGAACCAGAGCATGAGGGATTTAAATGCTGTCTTGTGTCATGCCCTAATGGTCATTCGTGCTTTCTAAAGCCCTTTCCATGAAGAAAGTGCTGGGCAGTTGGAGGTGTGTGTGTGTGTGTGTGTGTGTGTGTGTGTGTGTGTGTGTAGGAGGTGCCAGGCAGGGAGCAGGTTCCACTTCACAGAGGGGATTGAGGGGAGGGGCAGAGAGAGACTTGAGATGTGAGGAGTGAGGTTTGAAGTTTGTGGTTGAGGCCCAAGCCAGAGCCGGAGACTGTACCTTCTTCACTTAATCTCTAATTGTCCAGATTGTTCCTCAGTGAAGCCATTCTCATAGTGCTGTGGGGTTACTGGAAGCAGCCTTCAAAAAGCTTGATTAGCAGAATAGGAATTATTTCTAAATGCACATTTCAGAAGTCATCAGAGAAAACGGCCTGTTTCTATGAAATTTGGTAACGGCTGTAATTTTATCTACTGCCCCCATGTACCACACCCTTTCCATTTGCTTTCCAGTTTAGTCCTCAGGAGGCCATAACGATAAAGAAACCGAGGCCCAGAGATAAAGCAACTTGCCCAAGATGACTAACAAGATGACTAACAAGAGGCAATGCCAGCGCTGGAGCTTTTTCAGTTGTAACCTAAAGGGGCTCTGGCGTGCTGCCCTCTTAGCACCACCCGGTCCTCTCTCCCAGCTCCCTCCCACTGACTCCTTCCAGTGCCCACTCATCCATGCAAACCATTTAACTAACAGCTGCTACACTGGCCTTCTAAGACCCCATGTCTGCCATGCTTATGACCTCCGGTGTCTCCAACATAATGATCAACTCCACAGCCAGTGGTTGGGATTTTCTCCCACTGCCCCTCCGTGTGGTTCCCTCAGATCAAATGTGCTCCCAGGCCCACCAGGCAAAGCCTCACTCAGACTCTTATTGGAGCCCTTCCTCTCTGTCTTCCCCACCTACACACATGCTGCTGCCTTCTGGATCTTGTCTGGATCCCACCATGTCTCAGACATCTTTGCCAGACCCTGACCCTCAGTAATACTTCTCTTTCTAGCACTTTCTAATAACATTTATTCAGATGCCAATCACATATTGTTCTTTATGGTGAAAGGAAGAAAAAGGAAAGAAAGACGTTTTCAAAAAGCTTTACCAGTAGACAGCCATTCAAAATATTTCGGTGTTGCAACTCTTCTCCCAATCATAGGACATGTGGCTCACTGTAAATTCAGATCAGAACTACATAAGGGTAATTTTTAAAAAATATATATTTTATTGATTTTCCTCAGAGAGGAAGGGTGAGAGATAGAGAGATAGAGACATTGATGAGAGAGAAACATCGACCAACTGCCTCATGCACACCCCCTACTGCGTATGTGCCCGCAACCAATGTACATGCCCTTGATCGGAATTGAACCTAGGACCCTTCAATCCGCAGAACAACACTCTACCCACTGAGCCAAACCGGTTTCAGGCAAGGGTAATTTTTTAACATATATCTTTCTATCAGGATGGGAGGCACCACAGGTCTCAACCAACTTGGGCACAATGACTCCAGAAGTCTCCCAATTTAATTGCCAGGGACAGACGATAACACAATAAAAATATGACTAACACAGCAGTGAGTTTAGAAAACTGTGTATGATCCACTGACCTGCACAATGAGGCACTGTTTAAATAGAAGGGAAAGAGATTTTTGTCAGGTCTTAACTCGAACAATTATTAAACACATATTGATTTTACCTGTAGTAGGATTAATGGCCCTGTTATGGCCCTGAACAAAGGCTTCAGAGGTAAATCACTGTGAGTCTTAGTCCCTCATGGGGAGTTTAATCTCTTGCTCTATTCCCTAATTCCTGCAAGGGCAGAATGATCCAGAATCAAGAACCGGTCGCCAGGGTCAGCCTTAAACATAAGTTCTGTCCCAGCAAAGGCATGATGTGATCCCTTATGCAACAAGAAAGAGGAGATGTAGACTCTAATGAGACCAGATAATATTGGGATTTTTACTTGGGAGATGCTTATTCTTGACATTTCTCCAACTTTCCTGGGTCATAGCCTTCAGTTTAGTCCCCATGTCCATGCCCTGGACGTTCCCCCTCTTACTATTTCAGTTTTCATTTCTACCAAGCTCTCCCCAACCCCATATCCCACCCCTACCTCTGCCTTGTCTCTCATTCTTTCTTTCTTTTTTTAAAAAATATATTTTATTGTTTTTTTACAGAGAGGACAGAAGAGGGATAGAGAGTTAGAAACATCCATGAGAGAGAAACATCAATCAGCTGCCTCCTGCACACCTCCTACTGGAGATGTGCCTGCAACCGAGGTACATGTCCTTGACTAGAATCAATCCTAGGACCCCTCAGTCCGAAGGCTGATGCTCTATCCACTGAGCCGAACCAGATAGGGCTCTCATTCTTTCTTGAGTCTAGAAGGCATTAGACACATCCAGTAGCAGGAGAGGCTGTTGCTGCTACCTTCTTTTCTTTCTATCAGGCTGTGAGACACCACAGGTCACAACCAAATTGGGAGCAATGACTCCAGAAGGCTTCCGATTTAATTGCCAGGGACAGACTGCTGTGGACTTCCCCAGAGAGAATGAAGGAGTTTTGAGGAGCAGACTGTGACTGCTTTGACCTAAAACTCTGAATGGACTCACCATTGGAACTGCCTGGGGCACGGGCCTCTAACACTTGTTCTCTGGAATTGCCACTCCTGGGAGAATTACGTTCTCCAACTCTGACAACAGATTTTGACAAGGGGTCTTAGGGCTCAAGCCTGGTCCAGACAGCTCTGGACACATCTGGAAAGATGTCACCTGTCTGGAAATGTGGGCAAAGCTGCCGTAACCTTGGGTGAGAATCTGTGTAAAGATGTTTAAAAAGGAAAAAACACAGGGGTCCCATCACCCATCCTGAGAATTTCCTGAAAGGCACCCTGGCCAGCCGGGGTCAGCCAGGGCTGAGCCCTCTATTACTTTCGGGGTGCTGCCAAAGTGAGATAATGGCCAGGTGGTGGGGGGAGAGAGGGCCCTGGCTCCTGTGTGGAGAGCGGCCAGCTTTCTCTCAGTTTATCTCTCAGATGATCATTTTCTGGTTCCCTTCTAGTCAAGTTCAAATTGATTTTTTTTTTTTTTTCAAGAAAGCTTTCTCACCCCTCGTCCTCTTGTGTCCCCAGGAATAAGGTCAGCAGGACCCAAAAGCTTCTTTCCTGTTGGGAGAGAACGGGAGCCTCTAGTGCCACCCAGTGTGAACGCTCGGTGAGTTTCCAGGTGACTTGCTATTGTCCTCACAAGTTAAGAAGGCAAAAGTATTTTTAAACACAATAAGAAGGCTCAAGTATTGTTAAACACAAGCAGAAAACCCTCCTAGATAAACCCCTGATCTGTTATCTGGATTTTTTTTTCTTTTTTTCTTTTTTATCTTTCCCTCTTCCCCCCCTCCCCTTTTTTCATGTTTGTCTCTTTTCTAAAACTTATTTTCCATGTGTGTGTGATGCCTAGCATTTTGATGTCGGTCTGTGGACTAGCCCTCGGGAATTCCTAACTAACCACAGGATTTAGAGTGGAAGTTCATGAAATCATAAAATCTGTTTACAACTGTGTTATCAGTGCGGGCAAGGTAGATTAAACAGTACACTTTGAAGTGTACCGGAGGTTCATTTATAAATCACAAGTGCCTCACAAGCCAGATACCCGACAGGTGTGACTAGTGTACAGTTTAGGATTAAACAGGGAAACAAATAGCATTTGTGTTTCATTTCAAATATGGGGAGGGGAACAGTGAAGAAAAAGGAACCCCATGTGACCTTGGCCATCCCTGCACACCCCTCCGTCCCAAGTCCTTCTCCACCCATCTGCCTGTTTTTGTGATTTTAGGAAGTGGGGGCAGAGTCCAGGCCCATGGCATCCTAGGATCATCCCTGACCCCTTGCTTCTTGAAGATCCCCCCTCGGTGCTGACGACACATATCATTTACATCCTCAGGCTGTTGCTGTTGGTGAAACCATGGGGTCGCCAGGTCACGTCTGCCCACAGCTGCCGGCGTTCGCATCCCTGGGCACTGAGGTCTGAAAGGCGACCCTGGCGAGGACAAGCCCTACCCCCTTGAAGGAAATGGCTGAGCGGCCCAAGCAGCGGCAGATGAAAACTTCCTTCCTCTTCATCCAGCTGCAGGCCCCCCCTGGCAGAGCGCTCCCCGCCCTGTCTCCAGCAGCCGCAGCCTGGACTGCAGCCCCAGGGGGCCCGGAGGAGGGACACATTCTCCCAAGTCCCAGGACCGGCGTCTTGGCAGGCCGGGACCTCAGGCACACGCGGGGCTCGGCTGCTCCTCCCTCTGGGCTGCTGCAGAAGGAGGGCCGTGGGACAGAGCAGCCAGCTGCTTTCAGTTGCTCTGCTCGGAAGCAGAGGGAGGGAGAGGAAAAGCCCCAGGATCTGGACGTAAGGAGGGGTGGCCTTGGCAGATCCCTCCGTTGCGGGCGTTCCCTGGCCCCTGCAGCCAGGAAACTTGGCGGGCCCCAGCCCCTGCCATGCGGACTGCCTAGCCCAGATGTCATCATGAGCGATGGAAGCAGCGATCCCTCCATGGGCTGGGAGCCTTGGCCGGTCCTTCCTTCCCCCCAGGAACTGTGGGGCGCAGAGCCTCAGTCTTGGAATGCTCTAGGATTCTCAGTTCCACAGGCCGCCCTGCCCCACGCTGCTGGCAGGGGCGAGAGGGGCGAGCTGAGGCGAGGGACGGCCACCGGCCAGGTCCCCCCGAGGAGCTGTCAAGAGGACACGGGTACCACGGTGCGGGCAAGGAGGGCGATGCTCTACAGATACCGTCCTCCCGTCCAGACCAGCAAGAGCTACCCGGCCCCCCCTACTGCTCTGCCTCTCAAGGTAAGAAAGCGTGTGTGGCTGACCTCCCCAGGCCCCAGCTGTTCCCACGGGAAGAGGGAATGAGCAGGGAGGACAGAAGTGCCCACAGGGCTTCCAGTTTTGCACCCTGAGTCTCCCTCCACTCCCGATGGGCTACATCCATACGGCCGGCCACGGTGCTCCTGGGCCTGGCTCCTCCTCGGTGCTCCCTCACCTTCCCAGACACTAGCAACATTTTGTTTGCAAACAGAATGAATAACTGTTTCCCAAGGTTTCTGCCAAAGATAGAAGAAAATCCAGGCAGAGCAGTGCATACTCTGTCCGGGAAGACCAGACGGAAAGATAGAGGAGCTGCCCAGACGTTTACTGAGCCCTCGTCTGTGCCAGCCATTGTGCCAGGTGTTTTCTTACATCCACCTATCCTCGTAACTACCCTGAGAAACAGAGGCTCCCATCCCTACTTTCAGATAAGGAAACTGAGAATGGCTCTGCAAAAACCTTCCCCTCCTTCCAGAAATGCAAGGCCAGAAAGGCCACTGGAGTATCAAGAGAGGTTTTGTGGAGGTTTACAGAACTCAGCCACATTCTCGCCCTTCTAAGGCACACTTCCACTTCCCAGGCTTACTGGCTCCCCCCCCCCCCCCCCCCCCCCCCCCGCACCACCACCACTCCCATCCCCCATCCATAGATGGGAGCTCTGGACATGAGCCTCCTACCTTCCATTTTCCTCGGGAAAGGAAAGGGTAATGCTGTGTGGTCTCCAGGGTCCCTTCAGCTCCTTGGGCTCTGCCTGTGATCATGGCCATGCCTACTCTTTGTTATCAGCGTCTGATTCTCTGACTCAACTTCCTCATCATGCTGGTGCCTGAGCCCAGCCTGCCTTCTCCGCCCAGCTCAGGTGTGTTGCTCCCAAAACAGGTGGGCACACACACACACAAATGACGCTTTTCTTTTCTCTTTCCCAGTAGCACAGACATCTTTGTATCCTTTGCACATCTCTAGGAGATGGGGGTGAGAGCGAGGAAGAGTGTGTGTGGGTTGGGGTTGGTGGGGTGAGACAGAGGTGGGGGGACTCTAGCTGGAGGATGCGGAAGTCGGTGTGGAGGGGACTCCCAGGAAGTCACAGGAGAAATGGAGAGAATTCACACCATAGAAGAGGCCTTCCTGGGGCTTGGCAATGATGCAGTTTCACCTGGATTCCGTGGCTCTCTCCTGCTTGCTTCTCCATACCCCCCTTCTTCCTCTTTCTCCTTCAAACAGGGGGCCATATAGCCATGGATAAGAATCAGAGAGAGCCGAAACCGGTTTGGCTCAATGGATAGAGCGTCGGCTTGGGGACTGAAGGGCCCCGGGTTCAATTCCAGTCAAGGGCATGTACCTTGGTTGCGGGCATTTCCCCAGTAGGGGGTGTGCAAGAGGCAGCTGATCGATGACACTCTCTCATCGATGTTTCTAGCTCTCTATCTCTCTCCCTTCCTCTCTGTATAAAATCAATAAAATATATTTTAAAAAAAGAATCAGAGAGAAAGAATGAGCCCGAGTTCTCTTCAGAAAGGAATTCTTGGAAGAAGAGAGATGCTAGCCTGCTCCCTTAAGAAATAGTTTACATTCCACCCCAGAGCTTGTGTCTCTCATTTCCTACAGAGATCGAGGAGGAATGGCATACCCATGCGTCAAAGACCAGTCCCTGTCTGCGAGGTCATGTGGTAGTTGTTTGTGTACTTTAAAGCTGCTCTGATGACTTGAAAACAGCATCTTCCCCTACTGTCCATTCCTACCATCCAAGTATAAGCCAGATCCTCAGAGCTGTTGCCATTCCATAGGGAGAGATGTTTTGGGAGTTGGTTCAAGTGGGTAGACTTCTGTCTTATCTGCAGAAATCTAATAGGCTCCCCAGACATCTAAAGTAAGGATTGTGCCCTGGCTTGTTTATTTCAATGGATGGAGCATCGGCCCTCAGACTAAAGGGTCTCAGGTTCAGGGTACATACCTCGGTTGCAGGCTCAATCCCTGGTTGTGCGGGAGGCAACCAATCAATGTGTCTCTCTCACATCGAAGTTTCTCTCTGTGTGTCTCTCCCCCTCCCTTCCACTCTCTCTCTAAAAAAATCAATGAAAAAATATCCTCAGGTAAGGACTAACAATAAATAAATAAATAAATAAATAATTGCAAGATTCCTTGCTAAAAACTTAGAAACCCCAAGTTCAAGTCTAACCTTGAGCAACCCACCAGAGCTCTCTGTTTTTCCATCTGGAAAGCCTACCTCACAGTTGCCATGGAGATTTGCTATGGAGATCAAGTGTTGAGCAATTGAAAGAAAACTTCAGCAGCCCTATCTGAAGGGAGAGAAGAGAAGAAAAGCCAGTGGGACACCATGGGAAACCATTAGTAGGACCAGGGAAGCCATGGAGTTAAAGGTGTAAATGTAGGGTGGGTCTGGTGAGGAAGTCAGGCTACCAAAACTTACTCTTTTTTTTTTTTAAGTATATTTTATTGATTTTTCACAGAGAGGAAGGGAGAGGGATAGAGAGTTAGAAACATTGATGAGAGAGAATCATCGATCAGCTGCCTCTGGCACACCCCCTACTGGGGATGTGCCCGCAACCAATGTACATGCCCTTGACGGGAATCGAACCTGGGACCTTTCAGTCCGCAGGCTGACACTCTATCCACTGAGCCAAACTGGTTTCGGCCAAAACTTACTCTTAACCTTGCTGGTCAGATGTTGTGATTGCTCTTCCTGGAAAGGAGGGAGCTGGGAAATAGTACCTTCAGAACCACACGTTCTCTAAATGGCCGTGGCTACTATTAACCAGTGACCTCTGCCTGGTCCTGGGTACCTGGGAATGTAGTAAAATCAACAGAAATAGCCTTTCCATCTGCCCAGTTCTGAACAGATAACGGTGTCCTCTGGATTTGATAGATTAATGTGTGAGAATTACCCAGTCCTCTCCTGTTTTGGAATGTAGCTTTGTGAGTCACAGGAAAGTGGCAGAAGGTTCATAAAAAAGGTCTTTTCATCGCTATGAATGTGGAGGCCCATGACCTTTCACTTGATATACTCAGGAAGAAATGTGATCAATTATATTTATTAAATTGAAATGTTGGAAGCAAAATCTGTTCCTACATTTGTATCATAGCATTGATGCTTTCTTAGCAGAAAAATCTGGATCTTAAGTATAAATTCTCTTCTCCACAATGCTCCAAATGGCCAAGTGTGTATTCTCACTTTGGAGACAGATGGGTTCCTAAGTGAAAATTGTCGACTTACATCCTTCCAAATATCATAATGAGGGACTGCAGTGGATTAAATCACTTGGTTTTTAATTTATACCATGACCGGGCTTTGGTAAAAAACAACTATAGCGCTCTATGAGCTACACAAGGCGCCCAAACCTCAAAACTGTGAGGATATACAGTGTTATCCCCACTTCACGAATCAAGGGACAGATGCTTGAGGATGGTCAGGAACTTGCTGAGACCCGAGACCAACCCATGTCAGCTCAAGACCGAGTTCTCCTACCTCCTCCTCTCACTGTCTTCTGAGAGGGTGAAATTCCCTTGGAAGTCAACCCACCATTTCCTGGTCCTGGAGATCTCTACTGCACTCTGACTTTCTCTGGTGGAGAGGCTGGGAGAAGGACCCTCAGGAGTTCGGGTCTAACGACCTTGTCTTGTGTGAGCAAGCGCTAGGAGCAGTGAGAGCCTGGGGTGAGCTCCAGCTCTGGCGATGCCTCTTGCGGTTGCAACATTTCTGTGGTGAGTCTGCGAACCAGGAAAACGTTCCATAGTCCCGGGCCAGTCCCTGCCCTCATGATTTCTTGGTCCCCACATCCTGCTGCCTCCCAGTGGGAACACCAGGAACTGACAATGTGTGACTTGAGTTTGGGACTAAAGATAAGAAGCCCATAGGAAGACACAGAAAACAGATGCAACTAGGAAGGGAAGAAAGAGCTTTCCCTTCAATCATTTTGAGATGTTTACAACTTTTTCTGTACTAGTCTTCATCTCTTACATAGTTTATGTTTTGAAATAATAACAATAAGTTTTGGTATGTAAATAATAACATCTCTTACATATTTTATGTTTTGAAATAATGTAGATGGCATTAGAAAATGCAGTAAAAATATTTTTAAATTCCCTCCCAAATGCCATTTTTACAAACCCCACAACATTTTCACATGTAGTTTTAAATTGCCAAGAAATTTTATTTCTCTGTTTTTTGTTTTCCCTTTTCTCTTCCTCTCTCACCTGAAACACAATGAACTTTTTGAGTTTTCATCACTGGTGTCTGGGAGTGTTCTGGGTTTAGAAGATAGAGTTAGAGTGAGCAAGGCAGACAGTGCCCATGAGCGGCTTGGAGTGTGAAGGAGACAGGGATGGGTACATTATTCCTTAAGGCAGCGATGTTCAACCTTTATCATCTCATGGCACACATAAACTAATTACTAAAATTCTGCTGCACAGTAAAAAGTATATTTTTTTGCCTATCTGACAAAAACATAGGTATAATTTTGATTCATCCACACTGGACAACTATTGTTGTATTGGCTGATGTCATTTTTTCTATTTGATAATCAAAGGGATAAGAGGTCAGTGTCCCTGAATAAATACTCAGGTGTTGCATGTTTTAAAAATTCTTTCGACACACCAGTGTGCCTCTGGCAGCTCACCGGTGGAAAATCCCTGCCTTAAGGTAATGAAAAGAAATGCAATGTAGGTCTGTTTGCTTAAAAACAGGCCCTAACAGCCTAGAGAAAATACTTTTAACTCTGTGTCTTGGATTCTTTTGCCTTAAAATAAATCCAACATCTGAAATATAAGTCTGTATAAAATATCAGCCTGTTAAAATTTTCATACAAAGTTTTAATTTAGAGTAAAGGTCGTGGGCACTGGGATTGAAGAGATAACAATTAAATCTGCTCCTGCCAACTAACTAGCAAAGTGGCCGCTGGCAACTCAATGAGCAAAGCCAGGCTATCTTGTTTGTTCTCTGAGGTCTTTCCAGTTCTGTCATTCTA